AATAGCACCGCAACGGTCGGTAGTCAGGTCAGAGGGTAAGGTGACCCAACCTCACCTGGTTACAAATCTTCTTAATTACAAAATTGTCCAGTTTGTACATGCCATTACTCAAATTCATGTTGACTGCTTTGGTATGTTTAATGAGACTAGATTCTATAATGTTCCTACTGTCAATTGAATTACAAGGTAATAATGAGGAGGCATTATCCCAGTCAATGCAATGCTTATTATCCCTCAAATGAACAAACAGAGCATGCTCTGTTTGTTCATTTGCTCCAACGGTCAACACTGTGAGCCCCACTGCACCTACTCGGGAAACGGCAACAACGGGGATTGGTAGACGCCTCAGCCCCCATTCCTTTAGGCATCTCATTATTGGACATCACCGACCGCACTTCCGGCACGAAATTCCTCATCGACACAGGTTCATCGGTCAGCATCCTCACTACAAGACACGTCAAAGCAACCCTCTTATGACCTGTTTGCTGCCAACGGTACCCCTTGCTCCTGTCCTGCACCCTGCTGTTGTCGTGGACCCTGTTGCTGTCATGGCCCCTGCCCCTGACCCACTTTTTCTGGGGACATCTTACCATCGTCATCATACCACTTCGTTCCCCGGAAAGTTGCTTCCATATCTTGTCTGACCACTCCAGCAATGGAGAGAGCCCCCATCGGTGTTTCTGCGTGTACCGCAGGTGCTAAGTGATCAAGCCATCAAAAAACCCAATGTAGCTGGCCCAAGTGGGATCCAGATTCATATATACCAATTAGAGCCCGTTTGAAATTTTCATAATTTGGGTCCGTCAATCCATACGCAGTTAGGTGCGTACTCGCAAAGGAATTTTGCGGGATGTGGGAACGAACGAACGCTTTTTTATCATGAACATCCGTAATCTGTACGTTGCACATCGTATATTCGCATGCCTTAATGAAATGGGTTATTCTGTAATCATCCTGACCCGTGAAATCACGTACCTGATCCCACGTGGTAACACGTGAACAACATTTGAGGGGTTAGTCGACATATTAGCGTTAGAAGCAGGCATTCCACTAAACTTACTTCTAACTGAAGGCTCTGTCAAAGGGGGAGGTAAGGTTAATGTATCAGACACACTGCAACCCGGAAGAGGATAAGGAACAGCCTGTTTATGATCAGGCGAGGGACTATATTGTTTACCTGACCGTAGGGTTCGACGGTTTAATTCGTCAGATGAATGGTCTATTATATCCTCACTGCTTTTAACAGAACTGTCTAACTGCTTTTGCGCCTGTGTTTCTGGCTCACCCACTAACTCAGTCTCTTCAGTAGAAATTTGAACTGGGGCATCTACACATGAATCGTCACTATAATGCTCCGTCAAATCATCAATGGCCCAAGACAATGACTTTAAAAATTCCGCCATTAAACGTCTATCAGGTCATACTAAGACTCATAAATGTCAACACACTTGCCTCTCATTTACAGTAACTGATATTAAATACTGAGAAATATATTAAGTCAGTACATATTAAAACATGTAAGGCACAGTGCCTTAAGCACTTATAAAAATTTATATAACTTACAGGTATCCTATCAATGTGGAGATATGTCGTCGAATATGTAAATGAGTGTATATATTTAATGAACACTAAATACCTATCAACTTAGTCGGATGTCCTCATAGAAAACGTGATCCGCCCCGCTTGTCTCCTCAGTTGATCGCAGGTGGGGTGTGGTGGGGTGATTGCCTCCGCCAGCCCTTTCAAGGTCAGGGTGGTTGTGTGTGGGTACTGCCTCCGCCTGGTTGTGTACCAATGATGCTCCCAGATGGCGACGGGCGAGTCCACTTCACGAGGGGGAAGCCATTCACCAAAGTGTTGAGTGCTGGGTTTTGACGTCTTCGGTCACCTGCTCACTGATGAGATGTATCTTGTTCTGAGTGCCCAAACCTTCTGAAGTCTGGTTTATAAAAGGACTCATTGAGAGCACTCAGATAGTTGTACAATCTTCAATCACGACAGCCCAAAACAGTCTTCTTAAACAATCGTGAAAGATCCTGTGTTGCCAAACCTTGAAACTTGTAGGTATGTGGCACCACTGTACGCTGGTACTCAGAACGCCCAGTGCTGACTAAGGAAGTTCTTTGTGCCACTGCTTGTTGCCAGACAGGGGTGTTGCCAACTTTCCATAAGATAGAAAGTCGTCAATAACTCAGAATCGGTTATTGGGAATAATTCTGCACCGTCTTTGGGCGACAGAATGAGTCACTCAACTATAATCGTCTCACTATGGGATATATCACTACACTTGGAACTTTTTTGTAACAAGTCACTCTTTCTTTGTTTTTCTTGCTTTGGAATACACTGATGACTTGTTATGTAGAATGTGTATTCACACCAAAATTTCGGTTTCGTAACCACTGCTGCCACCATGTCATAGCCTGTTAACTGTAAGGTTCTGTCGAAGTTAACTAGGCTGGAATGTTTATATTTTATTGGGTATTTGTAGCAAAACCCAAGTTGTCTGTTATCCATTTATTCAGGAACAACTAAGACAATTCCAAAGTGTAAATCAACCGTAACTTATCACTGTAACTATGAGTGTTAAGAGAAGGACGGAGGCTATGTAAATAGACCTGCTTAAAGACGTCCTTTCTATGTGAGGCGTAGAGGGAGAGTGACGCCTCAGGGCGTCAGTGCCCCGATCGCCCGGCCCTTTCAAATGCTGACCTAAACTGTCTCTGGCCACACCTTATAAGGAAGGGTGCCGACCAGATGCCATCAAGATGACTCCGCATAGCTAGTGGAAAGTTACAGGGGATGATTATGTATACAAATCAATATGTAATTAACCCATTTATATAATCTTTCTGTTGATGAAACAGGGGCCATTACAGTATGCCTGAGACCTCTGTTTTCTCTCGTGTACCACAGAGACCAAAGCTATGCAATGTAGATTCTCTGTAGCGCGCTCCTGATTAATGGTGGGAAAAGTTGTGTCGGCTGTTTGTTTTGACTCTTGGGCAGGGCCACATTCACAACGGTGCCCGAGGAGCCCGGGCGGGGGGCCCTGGTTCCAGGAGGGCCCGTGAACTTGCAAATATTTGTTATAATAATAGTAATAATAATACTGTACAGTAATAATAATGATGATAATAATAATAATGTAAAATTTGCAGCCCATTACATAGCAGCATAAATAGTAAATGTTTGCAGTACTGTATTGTGTAAGGACACATTATATTATTTATATTAGTAATAATACTAATAAATATGTATGCTGGTATTTCTCATTTTGCACTATCTTTTCGTCTAAATATGAATGTTAGTGCACACACCCCACACCCACCCCGGAGCAGAAATACGCCTCGTCAACAGTCACCTGTTCATCTCATTGTGTACACGTTCGATCGCCAAGTAAGTGCTTGGGTGTGTTGTGAGAGCTGCTAGGCGTGACACTCATTGATTACATAAGATTAGATTAGATTGCCCCCGAGGGGGCTAGTTTATTGGGCACCCCCTTACATCCTGGGCAAGGTGAAGCACAAACGTTTACAACGCCCATCTGGGAAGCATGCTAAGTTCATACTTTCCTTTATGACTCGTGCATTAAGGGCGTAAAAGCCTGAAGGGTCATAAGTTTTGTCAAGTTACATAAAGTGACAGAATGATGAGTGTGTGGAGGGAAAGTTCCCGGTACATTTCACCTGTTTATGGCAAAACGTGGCAGGTCCCTAATAATGTCAAGTGCCAGGCCTGTCACTAGGAGGAGGGATATCTGGTCAGGGAGGGAAGAGGTGTTGGTAACAGCTGGGGACCTGTAGGAGGTGGTCATACGGCAAGTGAGGATGTAGTGAGAGAGGGTGCGAGAGTCGGGTTGGCCACAAAGTTTACAAACAGTAGTAGATAATGACGAAAATTACGTTGTTATTTACTTAGACTTTAGCAATGCGTTTGACAGAGTACCGCATCAGAGGCTTCTGAGTAAAGTTAAGGCTCATGGTACCGAGAGGAAAGTTTTAAATTGGATAAAATCATGGCTCACCGATAAAAGACAGAAGGTCAGCATAGACGGTGTTAAATCTGAGTGGGGCTGTATAACCAGTGGGGTTCCCCAGGGGTCAGTACTGGGCCCACTCTTGTTCATAATCTACATAAATGATCTAGACACTGGGATCAGCAGTGACATAAGCAAGTTTGCGGATGACACCAAAATAGGGCAGCAGATTAATTCAGTGCAGGATGCAAATTCACTACAGGAGGATTTAAATAAACTGTAGGAGTGGTCAGAAAAATGGCAAATGAAATTCAACACCAGCAAGTGCAGCGTACTTAATATTGGAAGGACAAATACTGTCAATGTATACAGCCTTAACAACATCAACCGAGAGAAGTCGACTTGTGAAAGAGACTTGGGGGTACTTGTAAGCCCGGACCTACGGCCTAAAAAACAGTGTGTTATTGTTCGAAATAAGGCAAACAGAGTATTAGGTTTTATATCTAGAAATGTAAGTAATAAGAGTGCAGAGGTGTTATTGCAACTATATCTTGCGCTAGTCAGGCCGCACCTCGATTATGCGGTTCAGTTCTGGTGCCCTTATTATAGAATGGATATAAATTCACAAGAGTCCGTGCAGCGAAGAATGACGAAAATAATTCCAGGAGTTAGAAACCTTCCATATCAAGAAAGGTTAAAGAAACTAAACTTGCATTCCCTAGAAAGACGAAGAGTGCGGGGAGAAATGATAGAAGTATTTAAGTGGGTGAAAGGAATCAATAAAGGAGATATAAATAAAGATCTTATAATATCCGAGCCGGATAGGGATAGGACTTGTAGCAACGGATTTAAATTGGATAAGTTTAGGTTTAGGGGGGAGATAGGAAGGAACTGGTTCACAAATAGGGTGGTGGACGAGTGGAACAAGCTTTGCAACTTAGTGGTAAGTGCTGGAACGCTGGAAAGTTTTAAAAGGAGGCTAGATAGATTCATGGTAGTAACTCTCGACAGGAGCTACCATGCACAGGCCAACCGGCCTATTGCAAACTCCTTTTTTTCTTTTTCTTATGTTCTTATCTCTAAAAACATTCATATTAGCAACAAGTGTTCATCATCACCATACTTGTGTGTTAAATGTTCTGTTCGTCGTGTTGGATATTAATTCACTTTTAATAAAAAAAAATTATTCTCTAACTGTTAAGAGGAAGTTAACTTTTCTGAAAACATATAACAAAACCTAAACAAGCAAACAAGTCTAATACTGTATTACGTTCAAATAACAACACTGTGTATTGGAGTTGAATTGGCGTTCTTAAACATTCATGTGGAGGATCACTGAACAGGGATGGCTAGCCAGTTGTCATAGCCTGTAGGACCTAGTGTATCGGGGTGGATGAAAGGCGTGACGGGACACTTCTTCAGGTGGGGGTAGACGACGTGACCGCCAGTCAGGTAAGATGCCCAGAACCCGAAGGAGCCAACTGTCATGATGGAGTGGTTACATGCCGCCAGCAGAGCCAGGTCCTCCTCTGGGCGAGCCAGGTCTGTTGGGGATGAAAGACTTTTACTTCATTTGTTTGACTTAAAGGTGATGTTGCCAGTAAATTCTTCTGGCTACATCAACTGAAGACTTGTGTTATCATTGAAACAGAAGGACACAATGATTGGCTGTGTGTGGGGGGGAGGGGGGTTGTATATGTATGTATGTATGTATGTATGTATGTATGTATGTATGTATGTATGTATGAGTATGCATGTGTGTATTTCTAATATTGATAACACACACACACACACACACACAATAATAGCTGCCCCTCGTGTAGCGAGGAAGGCTGGCCCTTGGGCCACCTAGGCGTGAATTTGTTTAAGGTGTAGAAGCTGTCGCCAACACAACAACCACACCCTAAGTTAACGAGCTGCATGATCCAGTGTCAAGGAGTAGTCCGAGAAGACCGGACAACTCGTCAACTGCACTGGCTAACCATTACCCCGGAACACGATCCACAAATCGATTAACATCCAGGTCCCCAATTACTGCTGGGTAGACAGAGGCAAATGGCGTAAAGTAACTTGCTCATATTTTCACACCCCCCCCCCCACACACACAATCATCCCCCTGTGTTTATCAATGAAAAATAATATTACTCACCTGAAAAGATGACGTCAGTGTGTTTATCTAGGTGCTCTCGAGCGTGAGGAAGATCATCAGAACACACGACGAACACCGGGTTGGCCAGGGCGAGGCGGAAGTGTTGAAGGGCGGCAGTGTAGTACTGGGGACCCGGTAAACTGCACCTGTAGAACCTCTTCTCGGGGAGAAGAGGGAGGGAGACACCGGGAGATAATACACAAGTACTTTTTCTCAGACTAAGGTGTACTGGGTGTAAGACTAAGGTGTACTGGGTGTAAGACTAAGGTGTACTGGGTGTAAGACTAAGGTGTACTGGGTGTAAGACTAAGGTGTACTGGGTGTAAGACTAAGGTGTACTGGGTGTAAGACTAAGTTGTACTGGGTGTAAGACTAAGTTGTACTGGGTGTAAGACTAAGTTGTACTGGGTGTAACTAAGGTGTACTGGGTGTAAAACTAAGTTGTACTGGGTGTAAGACTAAAGACTAAGGTGTACTGTGTGAACTAACTGGGTGTAAGACTAAGGTGTGCTGGGTGTAAGACTAAGGTGTAGTTAAGTGCTGGGTGTAAGACTAAGTGTACTGGGTGTGACTAAGGTGTGTAAAGCTGGTGTGCTAAGGTGTACTGGGTGTGAAGACTAAGGTGTACTGGGTGTAGACTAAGGTGTACTGGGTGTAGACTAAGTTGTACTGGGTGTAAAGACTAAGTTGTACTGGGTGTAAGACTAAGGTGTACTGGGTGTAAAACTAAGTTGTACAGGGGTGTAAGACTAAGTTGTACTGGGTGTAAAACTAAGGTGTACTGGGTGTAGGAATATGGTGTATTGGGTGTAAAATTAAGCCACTAAGGTGTACTGGGTGTAAAGTTAAGCCACTAGGTGTACTGGGTGTAAAATGTGGTGTTGTAGTGGACGTCTCTACAACTGCCTACAACTGCGTAGCCACAGCCACCACCTGCTACCGCCTTCCCTAGCAACCAACCAGATGTTACCGTATCTTAGCAACGGAACCAGGAACCGGCGACTTTCTGGGTTTTCCCAACATGACTCATAGCGGCTGCTGGGTATATAAGCTCTGTCTCTCCATTGAGATTCATTCTGACCATTCTTCTTGAACAAGCAACACCTCCTCCTCCGCCGCTGCCTGGCAGCCCTCGCTTCTCCTCGCCTGCCTGGCGGTCCTCGCTCCCGCCAGCGAGCATGGCGACCCACCAGCTGTCCTTCTCTGAGCTTCCTCACCAACCAACTCTCATTCGGCCCATCTTCCTGAACACGCAACATATCCTCCCAGCAAGCTCCTAGCTGTCCAGCATTCATTCAACCAGGAGGCCAGCAACAGGCAACATCTTCTCTAACGAAGCTCCTGCACATCTACCTCCTTCAACAAGCTACTCACCGAACGTCTCTACTGACCAGCTCCTCACCACACGGCACCTCCAGCACCAGACTGTCTATCATATAACTTATATTATACAAGAAAACCACATTAGAGTTTCCTTCCATCCTGAGTGCTAGACAACATTAATATCTCGATACCCCTACAGTGTACTGGGTGTAGAATTACGCCACTAAGGTATACAGGGTGTAGAATTAAGCCATTAATGTGTACTGGGTGTAGAATTAAGCCACTAAGGTGTACTGTGTGTAGGAATAAGATGTACTGAATGTATAATTAAGCCAAGAAAGTGTACTGGGTGTAAAATGTGGTGTACTGGTGTGATGGGAACTTGGTAGTCAGCTCGTTCAAGGAACGAGTTATTCATTATGTGTATTCTTTTTCATCTTGCAAGTGAAGTTAGTTGGTAGGTCTACCGGTAGCTGTGAGTCCCTCCCTACCCTAGATGGCTTCTTGACGTGTTCACTGACCGGCTCTGCCCTGCCCTGTGTACGCGAATCCGGTGTCTCTGGTGGTTTTGTGTTTGTACTACTGAGTGGTCACCTCACAGCTAAGTTTACTTTGTGTACAGTATATGGATTAGGACAATAATTATAATGTATATTGTGATAGGTAACACTTATTCCATGTGTTAATTGTAAGATTGGAGGTTCTTGTCTTTTTGTCTCTGGTGTTGTTTCTCAGTTGTAGTTGATGTAGCCTACTTTCATTTTCACCTTTCTGTGTATATAGTGTTAATATGTTTAATACTTAATATATTATAACAGTTTCTAGTGCATTATGAATATTCCCGTTCCCCGTGTATCTTCCCTTGTGTTTCCATGTTGTGGAACATTACAATAACCCCTAGACAAGAATGTCCCATAACACTGGGTGTAAAATTAAGACACTAAGGTGTACTGGGTGTAAGAATACGGTGTACTACGTGTAAGACTAAGATGTACTGGGTATTGTACTCATGAGCCTTAGGTGTCGTACTAAAGGTACTCACCTCCATGTACCGTACGTAGTCGCCGCGCCTGACGTGAACACCCACGAAGGTCACGTTCCTGCCTCTCCTTGCTCTCACTCGACTCAGGAACGACAAAGCCTGTGAGGACATTATGATATATAGTGTATGGGGAAGAGTCAAGATAAAAATAAATAAACATTACATACATGGTGTTATGATAAACTACTTCTTTGTTTGTGTAGGGAAGACTATGGTCACAAGATGGCGCTGGTCATCAGTCAGTCTGGGGTATAACTTGCCGGTCCTGGTCGGGAGGTGGAAAATCTGGTGTGCTCCAGAGAGTCCAGAGTCAGTTCCTGAGTATAGGGTGTGAAGTCAGCATGTGGTCTTCTAAACCATAAGTATCGAGTGTTGGTGTTACTCTTATTGCTCCAGAGTCCAGACCCCAGAGTTATTATATTTTATATGGTGGTGTTTAGGGTGTAGTATTATTTTTTTGTATGTTTAGGATTTAGTGATTATATATTATATAGTGTGATGGTTTGGATTTAATGCTCATTTATTATTGCTGGAGTTTTCTCATTTCTTTTGTTGTATATATTTTGTATAAAATTCCGTCATCAGCGGTACCGTTCTTGCCTCGCAAGCGAGATGTCACGGGTTCGATTCCCGGGCCGGTGGAAGTTGTTTGGACTTACTTCCTAGCCCCCATTAGTCCCTGTTCACCTAGCAGTAAAGTAGGTACCTGGTGTAAATCGAAAATTGCGAATTCGTATTCAGGGAAAGTTGTTGGAGCTTCCAATAACTTCATGACATAAAACCAGACTCTTCAGGCTTCTACGCCCTTAACTCGTGAGACATAAAGGCAAGCATGAACTTAGCATGCTTCCCTGTTGGGCGCTGTAAACGCTTCTGCGCTTCACCTTGCCCAATAAATAATAAAAAAGAAAAAAAAAGAAAAAAAAAAAAGATATCAGACAGGTGTTTTAACTGTCAATACGGTTATGGAAGGTCACTTACTGTTGCCTGTAGGTCTGGCCGGATCTTAAAGTTGTTACGGATTGTGTGGTGATGGCCGGCCAGGAGCCTCATCCGGTTGGGGTAACCTGTCAACATAAACACAGGTGATCATCCCACACACTCTAATATTTGTTTTTTATTTAGTGTAAATATTTTGTATATGAAAGTGCCTATGTTTTTTATTATCAGATTTTCTTGTGTGTTTATTTTTTAGATTGTTGTTAACACTTAATTGACAATACAGTGTTACATATTCTACCCGGTGATGTTCTAGAAACATATGGAATATACTTAACCTAACCTAACTAACTTAAACTAACATAAGTTAACCTAAATTAATCTGGCATTACCTAACCTACTGTAACTAACCTAACTGTCCTGAATTGGTTGATATCAGAAGAAATATTTAAATTACGTTATATGAATTAAGTTAACACTTGAAATGGATGATTTACCTTAAGTGGCAATGTCAGAGTTTATCACTACACCAAACTACATATAAACTGATATACTCAAGGCTTGCTGTTGTGGATGGAGGTGAGGAATTAACGGTGGAGCATAGTTGGTGAGCACCTCTATGATCGCCGGTTTTTACTGAAGGTGGTGAGTATTGCGTTTCTCTGGTCAGGATCGTTAAGGAACTAACAATGATAGGTAATTTGACATTCAACGGTAGCTGGTAGGATGTGCGCACAGACAAAGGAATGTAGACTTGCGCAAGACTATTATTTAAATCAGGAGTAATTATTTACAATTTAGGACACTAACCTAACCAAACCTAACCTAACTTAACTAACCTAGCCTAACTTAACTAACCTAACCTAACCTAACCTAACCTAGCCTAGCCTAGCCTAGCCTAACTTAACTAACCTAACATAACTTTTCCTCTAGCCACCTTCACTGACCTTCCAGGATGAAGACCTTCTCCTGAGGGTGGTGCTGGTACTCGCTGACAGCCCTGAGGAAGGTCGGCACTAGATGGCTCACCATATCGTTCTTGAGGTAATCAGGCTTAACCTTCTCGACCACCCCCATGTCGTGTGCGTCAAGGTACAGTTCCTCACCTGTCCGGTAACACGTGAGTTGATTAACAATGTATATTTTATTTCATAGTGTATATTCATGATCCTAAGACCCGTGTTGAATACAGTATTCATGTATGAATTTTATAATATGCGTTGAACAAGGAATATTCACATATGAATTTTGGTACACACACATATATATATATATATATATATATATATATATATATATATATATATATATATATATATATATATATATATATATATATATATATACATATTTAAACATGTATAGTATATGATCAACCTGTTGAATAGATGTTAATGCTGGGAAATTACTATCAATTTTTACCTAATTTCGAGTTTAAGTTGCTGGAAGGTTTTATTAATAATTATGATCTATTAAACCCATCGTGTGAAGGTTATGTTGAGGAAAGCAGAACTAACTATAATTTAATAATGTCAAGTGCCAGGCCTGTATCTAGGAGGAGGGATATCTGGTCGGACGAGGTGTTGGTAACGACTGGGGACCTGTAGGAGGAGGTCATAGGACAAGTGAGGATGTAGTGAGGGAGGGTGTGAGAGTCGGGTTGACCACAAAGTTTATAGACAGTGCCGCCAGGCTCAGGTTTGCCAATGTACTCCCAAAGGTACCTGTACCCTAGACGCAGTCTCGTGTACACAATCTGTTGGGACCGAGTCAGAGATTGATACTCTTGTAGTGGCGGTTGTCATCCCCACACACTCCTCATTCTGTCACTATGTATGTAACTTGCTGACCAAACCCATGACCCTTCAGGCACTTAAGTCCTTAATGCATGAGTCACGAAGGCAAGCATGAACTCCGCCTCATCTTCCTGAAGTTCATGTATCGTCTTCAGTATCACGTGACTCAGGATGTGTGTGTCAGGTTCTACAGGTGTGAACAGGTAGAAGAAAATAAATTGAGTAAAATATCCCTCAGCCTACCACAACACTTAACTTCACCACACCTGACCGCGTAACTCACTCACAACAGGTATTTCCAGGTGTTCACGAAACACTAATGAGGCGATGCGTTTGAATATGTACTCAGTGACGGCGACGGTGGCGGGGTAGCGGCCGTGGAAGGTAAGAGCCGTAGCGTAGCTGTTGAGGCAGTTTCCCAGCCGCCCCACCGTTGAGAAGACCATGAGTGGCCACTGAATCCAGGTCGTATTAGAGAACACCTGTAGATAAGATAAAAGCTAATTACGTATTCCTTCAATAATTACTGATTTTCTTTTCTTTTTATTTTTTCTATTGTATCTGTATATTAGTTTGTAGGAATGTATAGACAGTATTATAAATGCTTTCATGTTATGTAGTGTGTAGTGACTATTAGTCCCCATCCATACACGTCTTCCTCCTGTTCCTACATTCTGTGGGACGTAATGGAGTAGTGAACTAGTGAGGAGTACACCAATTATCTCCTCCCATTCCCTCCAGTTATCATCTCCCTCTCTATCTCCTCTCCTTTTCTCCTCTTGGTTACTAGGCCGAGCTCATAGATATATATTCGTCGAGGAGAACTAGAAAAGAGAAAATTTGTAAACGATAGTTAAAAATATTAAAACACAAGCCGGGCTAACTTGAACGGCACTTAGTGCCGCCGCAAAGAAAGTTTTATTTATTTTTCTGTGTTTTCTAAGGGACTGAGTGGGCATATGATCCGTCATCCATAGCCAGATACAGTGTACATAATGACAGCACATAGATACCAACAACCCGTCGAGGAGAACTGAAAAAAAACGAAGACAACTCAAACTGTGTTGGGCGGCAACACTGGACACATGAGAGTGCCAGGGAGGTGAAGACCAGCAGAGGGCAACTAAGATTATTTTGTTTAAATAACATTAGTTTGCCAGAAGGGCATGATCACTCCCACATCTCACTTCACTTAGACTACAACTAGTAGATGTGGTTATGAAGAAAGTCATCCCACTGAGGGGTAAATTTCTTCGTCGGAAGAAATTAAGTGAGAGAGCCTGGTGGTTGGCACTGTTGAAGCAGCCGAGGTGCGTAGTTTAGTTTAACAAATTTATTAACAAAGCTTATAGTACAGTTTGCCTATTCTGTGTAATTCAGTCAGGTCTTGACACTGAGGGAGGTATCACTTCTCACTCCCACGCAGGACAGAGGTTCATACACAAAGAAATACATTATATTCATTAACAGCTATATATATATATATATATATATATATATATATATATATATATATATATATATATATATATATATATATATATATATATATATATATATGTCACTGTTCACTGCCATGCAGGACAGAGGTTCGTACGCAAAGAAATACACCATATTCATTAGCAGTATACTGTATATAGGTCAGTGGTTCACATACATTGGACGTCATATTCTAATTGAAGACTAATCAGTGTGGGCTAGCAAATTTGGGATAAACAGCAAGAATGTCCTCGAGCAACCCCGATTCAATGTAGTAATTACAAAGTTCAAGATACAATAAGCCTGGTGGCATGAAGTCTTTGACAGTGTCACATTCAATAATAGTGTTCAAGTGTATGCTTTAAAGGTTTATCACAAAGTTTACATGCTGAGTGTTCCGGTATGGGTACAGCCTTACTAACCTGCCGAATGTGTGTGTATCCTAGCCTAGTTCTGGCCACGACTACATCACATTGTCTGGTTCTGTCCTTATGCTGGCCATACCGGTACCTCTTGTTACAAAATTTGTCATATTTACTAATGCTACAGCTGCCAGGTCTCTCTGCATTTCTCACTTCTTCTAGATCAGAGTTCATGATTCTGATTTGAATGTTTTTAAGTACAGCATTGGACAGGCCAAGGTCACGGTCAACATTTTCTTTCTTACATGCCTCATTGGCCAGTCTATCAGCACGGTCATGATACCTGATCCCAACAAGGGCGGGATCCACACAAATTCGATACGAAAGTTGCTCTCATTGGCAGTTATCACATTCCTTTTAATATCACATACAACTTTATACATAGAGACTGACGGGCTGTTCATTGATTTCAAAGCACTTTGAGAATCACTAGATGCGTAGGCAGCGGAGCGGGCGTTTCAAGGGACCTTGACGCAAAAGTCGTGCTATCAAGACACAGATTAGAAGCAATTTTCATCGTATTAATAAATATAAATATTATTGTTATTAAGCCGACGATTAGAATTCTATCACATTGTAAACTGGTGGGCTTAGGGCTGAGTAGATCCGTACAGAGTCTGCACGCCCCTCTCCTCCCCAACAGCAACAACCATGAGGTGAAGGGAGTCAGGGGTTGTAGCGTCACCAGGAAGTCTGTTGACATGCATTTACTGCAGGGCGATGTCGGATGTACATTGTGCTGGTCTGGGCAATTCAGTGTTTAGGACGATACAAGTTGCGGTAAAGCATGACGGCTGTTGCTGATATTGCCCTCATTGGATAATCAAAGTGAAAGGCGATTGCATAGTCATAGAGGAACAAGTTTTCTAAGGACGAAAATGATGAAGCTGGATCCTTGTTGGTTGCCAAGCCAGAGCAAGTTGGGAAAGAGATCCTTGCTAAGACTGAGGGAGTAGCTGATAGAATGGAGGTGGTAGTGAAGAGGAGCTATGCTCTCTGCTCAGGCCTTAGCAGGGCCACGGGAGGTGGCGGAGAGTAATGCCGGATCCGAACAGGTTCTACAGCAGCTAAGATCTCTGAAGAATTGTGTCGAAGAGAAGGCAATTAGCAGACCAACTGTTAGGGGAGAGGAGGAACAACGGGAACGTTTCGTAATAATTTTTAGAGTCCCGGAGAGCCAGTGGAGGAAGCTGGGAGTAGGAAAACACACGATAAGTTGCATTTTGAGAATATCTGTACAGAGGCTCTGAATAAGCCAACCCCTCTCAGGATGTGAGAAGGCTGGGTCAAAAGCAGGAGGACAAGCCTCGCCTCCTCTGAATTACACGAGTGAGTGAGGAGAAAAAATGGGAAGATATTCGGCAGGCAAAAAACTTAGCAAGGGGCGAGTCATTCAATTTCAATTGTTTATTCCTTGATAGAGGAAACGGGATCCTAGTGCTGTCACTAGGTACCCCTGTACAATGACACCAGAAGCATCTGGCAAGTGTGACAAGTATATACAGTATAAATATTATAAAGGGGTTTATCAAAGCCTAAGGAAGGAAGGATATTCCTTTAACACATTATCAATATTATTTACATAATATCTGGCCAGTATGGGGAGGATCATCGTGTCTCCGTCAGGGGGTCGTGGAGTGGTGGTCCAGCAGGCGTAACGGAAGCGTTGTGTGTGGGGACATCTTAGGAGGTAGTGGATAAGGGTGCGGCTGTCGGGTCTTCTGCATAATGCACAAGAGCGTTGCTCAGGGGATGCGGGGATACCAATCTCCCAAGCAAAGTCAAACCCAATGATGATACGGGCAGCAATCACGTCCCTTTTCCGCGACCCTTTCCCATAGATATACGAGAGGTCAGGAAGTTTACGGAGGACATCGTACTAGGTGGGTGGGGAGTCCAGCTAAGGCTAACGTACACTAATTGGAAATACATGTCCCAGTTATGCCTCGCCGGGTGTCTTATCTCTAGTAAAACAAACTTTGGAGTTGGTTGCATGGGTAAGCCTAACGCAACCCATGACAGACATCTCTCCCCACACCCCGCAAAATACAGTGCATTTAGCAAATGCTGCAGCAGCTGTGAATGGAGGGGAGGCCGGAGCCACTACCAAGAGCAGAGACGTTACCGAGAACAAATTCCGGCTTAAATGTTATGTACAAACAAAAACAAAAGTCGTGTCGCGGTTTTGTCCGAAGATTAAATATAACTCGAGCAAAATTATGAGCGCCACCTACCACAAGACAGCGCGCACCAAAAGTTTAGCCCTTCCGCATTTGTTTTCACCAAATTTCATGACACGACTTTTGCCTTTTATTGTACACTAATACTGACACGTTCCTTGATAAGAGAGAAGAGTTTGAAACACTACTGAAGGCACATCAACCCGACATAGTGGGAGTTGTAGAACTGTTGTACAAGAACAGGAGAATCGACCCAGAGGAATGCGAGTTCAGTATTGACGATTATGATTTATTTACGAATCTTTCTCAAGAAACTTGCAAGAGGGGTGTGGTTATCTATTCTCGGCAAGACCTTAGAGCCAGCCAGGTGAGGGTACAGGGAGAGGATGTTTTTGAAGAATCCAAGTGGTGTAAAATTAAATTAAAGGGAGGGGACTTTTTTACTGAACGGGTGTATCTATAGATCCTCAAACATCTTGCTGAACCAAAGGAACTTAAGTGCCTTAATAGACAACGCAATGATGCTCAACCCTAGCCACCGCCTTATCATGTGGTACTTTAACTTTGGCGACATCAACTGGAGATATGAGTTCACGCCAAATTACTTAAATAACCCCACTACTCTTATTGTAGAAAATCTGAGAGATAATTTTCTGTTCCAACATGTTAAGGACCCGACGCATTACAGAGAGGAGCAAACACCTAAGCCACTGGACCTCATCATAAAAAACGTGGAGGGTAAACTGGAACATCTAGCCCCCGTTGGCACCAGCCACCACGTAATGTCCTTCAGATTTAACTTCTACTTGGTTCACGACAAAGCCAGACCCAGGTGCAAATATTACAATGGAAATTACGACGGGATGAGGGAGGAGATGAGGGGTATCTAGTGGCGTGAGTCACTAAGGTATAAGAACGCAGACTCTACGCTGAATATCATAGCCAGTAAATTAAACCATTTGATTTAGAAATATATACCTAAGACTAAACCCAGTGCCTCTAGGAATAAAAGGAGACCCCTACACATGAAACATGCGGCGGTCGACAAAGTTAAGAAGAAAACCCAGAAATTCAAGGCGTGGGTTAGGTCAAACGATGACTAGGACAAGAGCCAGGAACCAAGCAAAGTCAGTGTGTAGAAGGGCTGAAAAGAAGTTCCAGAGGCTGGTTGCAAGCGAGGTCAAAACAAACCCAAAGGCGTTTTACCGCTATGCAAAGTCGAAATTAAAAACGAGAGTAGGAGTATCGGCCCTAAGGCTTGAAGATGGTAGTTACGCAGATTCTGACCATGACAAAGCGGAGGCATTGAACTGTTTCTTTTCTTCGGTGTTCACAAGAGAGGATGAGAACAATCTTCCTGCGTTTGAGGACAGACGGCTCGACACAGTGCTGACCCACATT